CAATATTCATAAGCATATGATCAATATACTTACGAATAGGCCAGAGGAGGGATGACCGTGCATTCTGGTGTGCCCCAGAATGGTCAGGAAGGGTCTCCCAAAGAACGTTCAAATTTATCTCTTCAGAGATTTCAGTTAATTTCAGCTTTATCAAAAACCCAATTTGAAGCAGTTCATCCATCTTACTTTCCTTCCTCCAAGGCCTTCCTTTCTTATCTCCTTCCCCAGTCCTCCTCGCTTAGCAGTAGAACCATGGGAAGATTTATGCTTGTTTCTTTTAAGACCATTTTCCTGTGTCTTATTGCAGCTTTTCACTTACTTTTTGGACCATACATCTTTCCCACACTGCAAGCAATATTACTTATTCTCATGACCTTCTACTTCCTGATTTGGGGCCTTTTCCATACTAGCTACAAACCATAAAACAGATATTTTCTTAACTTACATTTAGTTAACTTTAACTATGCCCACATGGCTATTGTCATACAAGTGTGTAGAGCCATTAGTCATCTCCTGCTATGGAGGACTTGATTTTTGGCAATGTGCAGGACATAGTGGATGGATTTGCTGCAGTGGGGTTCCCAACCTGCAGTGAGGTGATGGCGTACAAATCCCTATTTTGGCACCGTACATCCTTGCCCACACAGTGCATCAGCAGGAAGGTATACTTTGTTACGTTTATACAAGCATTGTTGGATCACTGTGGATGTTTGTTTGATATCAGTGGGGGCTGGTCAGGGAAAGTGCATGACATTCATATTTAAGAACACAGGACTGTTCAGAAACGTGCAAACAGGAACTTTCTTTCCTAAGTGGTGGGTTACAGTTGGTGATACTGAAATGCCAACAGTGATTCTGGGGGATCCAGCCTACCCCTTGGTCTCTGAGCTCTGGAAGCTGTACGCTGGCCACTTGGACAGCACCAAGCAGGTGCAGAAACCAGTTGAATGTGCTTTTGGTACAATGACGGTACGTTGGTGGTTGTTACTCACTAGATTGAATCTCCATGAGAAAAATATTGTTATGGCCTGCATAACATCTGTGAGGCACAGGGGAAAAAGCTGCCAGAATGGAGGGTTGAGGTGGCTGAGTTTGAACAGCCAGACACAAGGGCCATTACAAGAGCTCAGTGTGGAGCTACATGGCTGAGGGAGGCTTTGCAAGAGCATTTTAATGCTCCGTTACAGTAGCGTTCTGTGCCTGGGCCCGAAGCTTTGCGTGCTGTTAGGAATTATGTAGTGCTTGCTCTACCTTTATTAATATGGCTGGGTGGTTTCCTGAACCTATAAGTTCTGTGGTGCTGTACATTTATAAGCATTGGGTTCTTTGATTACTGATACGCATTCAGAGGTGTTTGTGAAAAAATGATTTTATTTAAAAAAAAATAGTTTGTTTTTCTGCACTGTTTCTGCCACTCTGTGCAGAAACAGGCTATGCAATACAAACTTTTAAGATAAATAAACAGAACAGAATTTTAAAATTGGAAAAGCAGCAAATATTTGTCTATTTCAGTGCACAAATGTAATCTGTTGTGGCTACATATACACTGACCTGTGAGAACCACAGTTGGTATATGTGAAGCTGGGTTTTCCTTGCTGTCTCCCAGCATGAAGTGGTAGGGATAAGGCTGCAGCCTGTCATGACCTGTGATATGCTGGAGGATGTAGGGAACTGCTACCATGAAGTTCTCCAACATCTGCAAAGGGCAGAGAGCCTGGGATTTTTTGACTTGTCTGGCAACCAGGGTCTGTAGCAACTGAATTTGCTGACTGAAAAGACCCATTATGTCCTGCTCCATTTTTCCTCTCCTTGTCCTGGGTCTTTCTCCTGTCCACTCTTTCCTTCTCCGTGCCATCTGCCATGTTGCCCATCCAGGTCCTTTGTTCCCACTCTGGTGCAGCACTGGCTTGCAGGATCTCACTGAACATGTCCTTTTCTTTCTTTGTCATTAGAATTGGGTGTTTTGTGGGTGTGGAAGGGGCATACTTCAATGCCGCAGCAGCTGCTGATAAAAACAACTATATCATTGGATATACCTTAACAGAAACAGAAAGATAAATTTCAAACTCCCTTCCTTTTTTCCCATTAAATACTTTTAATAAGACATCCTTATTGACACTTAAGCTTTGGAGCAACTCTGCACAGCCCCATTCTCCAACCCTAGCCATGGTAAGTGTAGCCTGCTGGGAGGGGGGAAGGAATCCTCAGGAACAAGAACACTTCAGCCCTTATTGCATGGGTGTGAGTAGAGAGCAATGGCACTGAATATTTCCCCAGGCAGTGGTGGTTTTAGTGAATATCTCACTCCTGCGTGTAGAAAAGGAGCACAGCTGCTACTGGTGTTGTGAAGCTGCCTGGGTCTATATGCCACTACCCTGTTTACTGCAATGGTAGCAGCCAAACTCATTGTGGAGTGGCATGGGAAAGGGTACTGCAGGGGAAGAAATAAGGCTACAGTTCCTAGAAATCTTTGGGTGAGGATTGTGGCGTATGTTCATGAAAATTTTAATCCAGATATCTCGGGAAGATACAAGGGACAGTCCTTATGTACATAATCAAACTGCTCTATATGGACTCTCTGCATACAAGGGAATGAAAAGCAGATACCAGCTATACAGTAACTCCTCACTTAGTCGTCCCAGTTAACGTTGTTACGTTGCTGATCAATTAGGGAACATGCTTATTTAAAGTTGTGCAATGCTCCACTATTACATTGTTTGGCTGCCTGCTTTCTCCAAAGCTGGCAGCCTCCCTACGCCCCCCCCCCCCTTGCCCCCACAGCGCCTCCTGCCTGCTGGCAGATCCTGCGGATCAGTGCCTTCCCCTGCCTGGAGCAATCAGCTGGCTTGCGGCGTTTGAGGGAGGGGGGGAGGAGCGAGGACTCGGCGTGCAGGCTTCCCTTACCTCCTGAACACCGCAAACCAGCTGATTGCCCCGGGCAGGAGGTGGGGGGAGGGCAGGGGAGCCTGCGCACCAAGTCCTTGTGCCTCCTAAACGCCGCAAGCCAGCTGATTGCCCCAGGCAGGAGGAAGGACTCTGCACACCTCCCCCTGCCTCGTGCCCGCAGCAATCAGCTAGCTTGCGGTGCTCAGAAGGGAGGAGCGAGGACGCAGGGTGCGAAGTAAAGGGAGAGAAGGTGGGGGGGAGGGGAAGAAGAGGCGGGTCAAGGGTGGGAGCTTGGGGGGAAGAGGGGAGTGCGCAGGCTGAGGGTTGAGCCCCCCCTCCCCCTCCCCCGTGGTGCTTTCAGAGTAAGGGAAGCTGCTGCTGCTGCGCAACGTGCTTCTCCTAGCCTACAGAACCTTCAGCCTCCTTGCCTGCCCCATTTCTAGTGCCAGTGGGCTGTGCCTGTGTAGGGTAAGCCAGGGGCACCTCCCAACAAATGATTGAAGCTGGCTTGAAAATCCTGAGTGGTGACGATCCTGACAGGGATCACAGCTCCAAAGTGATTAGGGGAATTGGTCATCTAATGACTTGCTATAAAGAAATTTACCAAGGAAAAAAGAGCAAAACAACAGTCTCTAGATGTGTTTTTTAGAGTTCAGAAAGTTCAGCAAGAGGAGCACCTCAACCAAGCTTCATGCTCAGCAGTGATGATTGTAGTATTAAATTGCTTGTTTAAAATGTAGATAATGCCTTTTGTCTGGCAAAAAAAAAAATTTCCCTGGAACCTCCTCCCCCCCCCCCCATTTACATTAATTCTTATGGGGAAATTGGATTCGCTTAACATCGTTTTGCTTAAAGTCTCATTTTTCAGGAACATAACTACAACGTTAAGTGAGGAGTTACTGTACCTCTGTTTGTTGTATCACTGTCTCCTTGTATTAGTAAAAGAATAAACTAACAAGACATAGGTATTGACTTTGGGTTGGGCTGGGTGCCATCTTTAAATTTAAATGTAGGGAAAAATGTATGTTTATCTAAGGTCCCTTCCCCTTCATCTGGCTCGTCTCTACTTTGGCTGGTGACACTCTGTTGGGCTTCTTCAAGGTATCCATGGTGGTCTGCGGAGTGCTTGTGGGATCTGTCGGAGATGGCATACAGCTCATGGTAAAACCAGCAGGTCTACAACTCAGCACCAGATCAATTGTTGTCCTCTCTGATCCTGTGGTTTGCCTGGCACAGTTTCTTCACTTCCTGCTGCTGATCCCTGTCATACCCCTTTGTCTGCATCCCCTATGCAGTCTTTTCTTAGATGTTCACCTTTGTACGTTTGTTTTGTAGCTGTGCTTGCACAGTCTCTTCTCTTTTCACAGGCCCAGGAGATCCAATATCTCTTGTCTGGAGCAGACAAGAGCACGTCTATTGCATGGAGCCAACATGATCAGTTGTGTGCAGCTGCCCAACAAAGGAACTGCTAGGTGTGCTCACCATGCTGGCCAATTAGGAGGAGGCATTTCAAAAATAACTGGGGTATTTTTGAGGAAGTGTGTGGTTTCCAATCTCTGTGACCCTTGGGCAATGGAATTGACCATTATGACCACAAAGGTCATGGATGCAGGGAATGGGGCATTGTCAGGGTCGACACAGCTCAATCAGTGTCTACACTCGTGCTGTGTCAACCTCAGTAGCATCACTTTTTGAGGTGGGGAGCATGGTGGTTTTACTGTTGTAATGGGGTGCTTATTTTGGCTGAAGACCAATTTGAGCATAGACACATACAGAAATAGGACAACGTAAGGCGACTTATGTTGAGCTAATGTAGCATAGACCAGGTCTTGATAACTTCTGTTTTCTAAAGATGCTTTCCACCAGGATTCTTGCTCCTGGAACTTGGCTTCCTAGTGTGAAACTGTCAGAACTCGCCAAACTTCGTTTTTGGTCCAAGCAGTAATTGACTAAATGCTGACCGTCAAAGGCTCACTCCTTTTGAAAAGAAAATGATGCTCTTAAACTTTGCTCTCAATATCCGTAGGATATAAAATGTAAATGAAGTGTTGATTTGTTTAAAAACATAGCCTTGTATTGGTATGGAAATGTAACCATTCTCTTTTCTTGGTGAGGTGGAAATCAAAGGTGGAAGGCATGACTACTACAATGTGCTTCAGAACAAGAGCCTGGAGAAAACTTACATAGAGAATGGAAAGGAGCTTGGAATGAAATTCCTTTCAGATGAGTCTTTTTTGAATGGTCCATCAGGTAACCATGGAACTTGTTTTTATCTCGTTTTTGAGGTGAGATCTCCTAAAGGTTGCTTTGAGTATTAGCTGACTTAAAATGTCAGAACTTGATCAGGATTTCTTATTAACTGCCTATATTCCAAATGGAAATGTGGGGAAGAGGGGAAATTAAGTTAAGATAACTTAGTTCAGTAAGGAAGGCAAATGAGTAAATCACACTCTTCAACTATATTAACCCATACTTTCATGTTGATTACTGCAAATTTGTTTGTGTAGAAAGTTCTAAAGATGAAAGGCAAAGTAGTGCTTTTTTTCTAAAAATTCTAAATGAGACCAAAATTCCCAAAAAACATTTCTATCACTGACGCCCAAAATGTGTAGAATTTAATGAGGAAATGCTGGGGAGATTCTCCCTGCTGAGTCTTCACTCTCCATCACAAAACAGATGGAATGCCCAAAGCTGTTAAATTTTCTTGGTCCATAAGGGCAATGGTAGCAAGAAAGAGCATGAATTCCCCACTAGTGGTATTCACACTTCCCTCCTGATCTTAACAATTGCCTTCAGAATCTTCCAGTTTTGACCATGGTCAGCAAAGGAGCTCCCCTGCAAAAGCTGCCCCTCTATAGCTGCTCTTGCTCTAGCTTTTCTTCATCCCATCAGCCATTAATGGCTTTGGATAACTTTTACTGTGTTCCTCTTGGCCTTCATTCAGATTGGTGGGTCTTCACAACTTTTTGTGTTTCTCTTTTGTGGTCATGGTGGGAAATGGGAGAAACCCAGGAATTCTGACTAGGGAACTGGCCTCTGGAGACCTTGAAACTCAAGTTTTTCTATGGCCTGGCGTTTATTTTGTATATCGAGTGTTTGTCACTATTTATAAAGTCTCTGCTTCTTTTAAGGTAAGAGGCTTAATGACTTAAAGGTTCAATGTGGATTTGGTATATTCTTTTAGGACAGAGTTTCCCAAACTTGGGATGCCGCTTGTTCAGGGAAAGCCTCCGGTGGGCCGGGCTGGTTTGTTTACCTGCCACATCCACAGGTTCGGCCGATCGCGGCTCCCACTGGCCATGGTTCACTGCCACAGACCAATGGGGACTGCAGGGAGCGGCGGCCAGTACATCCCTTGGCCCTTGCCTCTTCCCACAGCCACCACTGGCCTGCAGTGGCGAGCCACAGCCAGTGGGAGCCGCGATCGGACAAACCTGCAGACACGACAGGTAAACAAACTGGCTTGGCCTGCCAGGGGCTTTCCCTGAACAAGCAGCTTCCCAAGTTTGGGAAACACTGTTTTAGGATATCTGGTCTCACAATGGACAGAGAAGGAAGGCTGCTCAGTTGCTTCTGCAATGTCTGTGCATCAGAGAAGTCAAACATGCAAATCTGCTTGCAGGTGTTGCCCTAGAAGGTTAAGCATTTTGAAGAATTACTCAAGTACCTCAAATTGCAAACTCCAATACTCTGCTTATCTGGCACAGAACTAGCCTCGAGTGAAGGAGAAACCCCTAAGTGTGAACCTGATCTGACTTTGACTTGGTGCATTATGACTTTCAGTGCCATTACCTGATTCCCCTTACACCCTGTGGTGTAGCTTCACTACAAGATCTTTTTTATTCCTTCAAGACCAACAGCTTCGTGTGCAAGAGGCCCCAACACTTGAGATGATGGCATACTTCGACTTGTCAGAATGAAGCAGAGCCTCAACATAAGAGACCAAGGCAGGTTGCGAGGGAGCCAGCAGTTCTCAAAAATATCCCTGTTAAAAGCTAGGACTCCATAGTGAAGCTTCTTGAAATCTTTGGATTTTCCCTCCTCCATTCATGTTAGTTATCATCTGCCTCTCTCACACTGGGTTCCATTATATGCTCAGTAATCTGACCAAAGTTTCAGTATCCGCTTCAAGGCACACTTCTGCCCCTTTAGTAGTTGGACCTCTTGGTGCACTTCTCTGTTGAAGTTGGCACAGCATTGTGGCCACAAAGGCTGCATCTTCACAATGGAGACTACCACAAGCCAAAGTTAATGTTTCCTGAATCAAATTTGACTACCAAGGCAGCAACTAGAAAGGTCAAGCCACTTGTGTGACAGCAATCTGATTAGCTGGTGGCAGAGGCCTGTTGCTTGGATGCACAGTAATCGGAAGACTTCTGATAGAAATAGTATTCTTCTATTGAGGAACATAAGATGGTGAAAAGAAGGGAAAAATCTAACATTACCCAGTCTTTGCAAAAGTTGTCTGACCACATGGTTTGAGTTGATGGTGTCTCAACATCTGACTACCTTAGGCTCCTCACAGATTTCTTTCTAAGTCAGTAGTGAAATGATCTTCAGAAGATGGGTTACCATTTACCTCTTTGTCAGCAGCAGCAAGAAAGATGCCTATAGTTCTGCTCCAAAGGAGATATGCATAGGAAATCTCTTATGGATCACTTCTGATGTGCTGGGGCAAAAAGTACTAGGATGTCTGACAATTCCATATATTCTTTTAATGATCAGAAAAATAAAACCGGCTCAAATTCTCAGTCTGATTTGAGCTAGGCAATACTAGCACATAGAACTCCTGGAGCCTCCATTTTGTCTCCCCAGGTCTCTGAACTGTTGACTAAGAAGATGGTCTGACAGTCTGTGCCACTGGACCTTAAATGCATCTGATATGTGCTATGCCAAAACTGGGGTTTATTCAGCACACACTACTAAAATGGGAAAGGCTCATTGTGTGAGCAAGAGATAACAATGTTTCTGTTCTGCTTCTCTTTTGTCTATTGTGGACTACTTGCTCCACGTAAAGCCTTATGCTTTCTGTTCTCAATGTATGAGATGAAGATTGCCCAAAAGAGACTTGAGAATCTATCTCCTTACAAAGGAAAGTTGTAGTCTTTAAGACTTAGTGGTGAATTGACTGAAGGAACTAGTAATGCCTTCCTTCCGGTCAAAGACATGGATCTGTCGGTGCTTGATAGAGGTATTTTTTGAGTTTGAGAGAACCCTTTATTTAATCTGTCATAAAAGACAAATTTTCTAATTCCAGTCACAGTGATAAGAGTGAGCAGTGAGTTCTAATAAGAATTCCTCTTTTTTGCAAATTCTTCCCAAAACCTCATTCTCACCAGTGGGAAAACTAGACTCCATATATGGATAGGACATGTCATTCAGCAAGTAGGAAACACTTCATAAGATCAGTATGAAGGGAATCCCATTTCCAGTCAGCACCTGTCTAAATGGCTTATGCTGTGTATTGAGATACTATGCTTACCTCAAGATGTTAGAACTCTTGTGTCGAGCGGTGAGACCTCACTGCTGGCATGTGTCTAATGTTCCAATTGTAAAAATCTACAGGACTGCTATGTGGCATCTTTACAAAACATTAATCTTTTTGATTTGGCATCAAAAAGTGACCTTACTTTCCGAGGGCTCTTCTGTAATCCTTGTTTCACTAGAATTCCTCAGCCTTACTTTGAGTTGTACAGTTAGCTTAGACTCCCACAAATGAGAATAGATAGAAGCCACACCAAAGAAATTGCTGCTTACTGTGGTATCAAGTTCTTCAAGAATGTTGCTTTAGTATATTCACACTTGAGGGATGGCACCAACCTGGTGCTACTGTTTTCTAGAAGGCTTCCAAAGCTCAGCAACTAGCAGATCTCTGCAAGTGCCTAATTGTGGGCACAGAGCCTTGGGCAGAGTGGTTCTAGAATGCTCGTATATCTCCAGTCATCTCAAATCCTGCCACTAACCCCAAGGAGGAACAGATCTCTCTAAATCTTTGCACTTACTGATCTGTGTTAACTTGTTCCATGTGCACTTCTGTTAAATAGAAGTGCAAAATCAAGCTAGTATTGACTCTGCTTTGTTAGTAACATGACCAGATATGATGATCTAGACAGTGATACTGTACTGTTTTACTACAGTTCAGGTGTGTATCCCAGATTTTTTTAATTGTCTGAAAAGATGTACATTATAATACTTGTTCATTGAGCAAGCTTCATTGTCTCTTCATAGGTTCTACTGACTTTGGGAATGTTACATATGTGGTTCCTGGAATTCATCCCTATTTCTACATTGGCTCAGATGCATTGAATCATACTGAGCAATACACTGCAGCTTCAGGTAATTGTTTTTGAAGTGAACAGGGCTCTAATTTATAGGTGTTCTTTGAAACTTTAAATATAGAAGAATATCCACTAACACTTTATGATTAAAGCGACATTCAGTAAAGTACTAGTCCTTAAATATGCCTCATACGGTTTTGAAGAATGTCATCCTATTTTACTTTCTCTCCTATAAAAGGTTGCCTTTATAAGCAAATAAGTAGTAAATGTTGCGTTATAGGATAGAAATTGAACAACTATTAACTAGCTTGCTAGAAATTGTTTGAAACTAATGTACACAGATTTAAGTAACTGATAAGAGGGTCTATATAAAACATTGGTTTTGATCAGTTAGTATTTACTATAAATTAACCAACAGTAATCCACCAAAATACAAACACTTGGAAGAGCTGGAGATGCAGAAGATTAAGTGCTTGTCAAGTTGGGCACTGGTTTTGAATCCTGCTATGGTAAGCCTGTAAAGTTCTAGGTGCTCAGGTATTACAGTGATCACATAATAAGTACATAGATAGCAATGGTATTTATTCAGTAAGTATTTCAAGAATTGACTGTATGCTCTTAAAAAAATCAGATGGGATCAAAGAGCTAAACAGTTGTTCCTCAATCAAAATTGTAACTTTTAAAGGCTGAAACAGCCATAGAAACTAAAATTGGCTGGAGAATACTTTTCATATTTTCCAAATTGAAAACTGAGTGGTGGTAGGTGTCCCATATTTAAGGTTGAAGCTAGCTTCCTGTTAGAAGCCTGACTCTCTTTCAAGTTTGTGCACACAGTTATTCAGAAAGAAATCTGATCTTCCTGAAATTGTACATGTTGCATCTTAATTTTCTGGGAAGCTTAGTTGAAAATCAGGAAAGGAATTTTTAAGTTAAGATGGTCTGAAAAAATACCCAAGGTTAACTTTTTTGAAAACTCTTTAAATTGAAGTTTCTCTGATACGGCTTAGTCTAAAAATCTCCTTTTTGTTTGGGCTCCCTGAGATGCTTTTCAGTATTTTTGAGAGGGTTAGCGCATGATGCTTTTTGTATGTTAAGAAATTTTTGCCCTAGCTTAAAATGTCTTAATCTTTTCTGTTGCTGGCTGGGTTTTTGAAACCAGGCTAGATGCTCTGGTTCTGACTCACTATATGTTAGCAGCATTGCCACCCTAGCCATTCCAGTCATTTGTCAAACCGTAACTTAAACTTCTTCAAATGCTGGTCCCTATGTGTATTCCACACGTGGGCATGCGTGCTCCCGAGACCAGGAAAATCTTGCAAACAGTATCCGTTGGTCTGCATCTTTGCCCTAGTTCTCCTCTTGCTCTGCACCAAGAATGTAAGGGGAAGTGCGGACCAACTGCCTCTCAGTTTCTTCTTCCTGCTGCATGGCCTGAGTCAAAATCCTCCAGTGTCCAAAGGTATCTTTGCATCAAGTTTGTCTTCATCTCTGTGAATATAGTTAGTGATTTTTTTTGTATAGTTAGTGTAGCTTATTTTACTCACCCCGGTGACCTTATTTTGTCTCCCCTTTCAGGAATAGGACTCTGCCAGGAATTCTGGGATTTGAAAACTGTCTCCTACCCCTGCTATGTCCCATTCAGTGCTGCCTTTTCTGCCTTGGAGAGAGGCTCATATCTCTGCCAAGTACAGTATCTGTTGCCCAGCCCCACCCTGAGGAGAGAATAGCATTCTGACTGAGGAAATACCTCATGGAGGGGAGGGAACCATGAGACCCCAGTCAGATCCAGGCCAGGGAGTCTGCCTCCTCTACATCATCTGGAGACCTCAAGCAGTGCCCCTCTGAGCATGAGCTCTCAAGCAAAGCCTGTGTCAAGGTTCCTCCCCCACTCTGAACTCTAGGGTACAGATGTGGGGACCTGCATGAAAACCTCCTAAGCTTACTTTCACCAGCTTAGGTTAAAACTTCCCCAAGGTACAAATTAATTTTATCCTTTGTCCCTGGATCTCCACTGCCACCACCAAACTCTAACTGGGTTTACTGGGAATCATAGTTTGGACACGTCTTTCCCCCCAAAATCCTCCCAACCCTTGCACCCCACTTCCTGGGAAAGGTTTGGTAAAAATCCTCACCAATTTGCATAGGTGACCACAGACCCAAACCCTTGGATCTGAGAACAATGAAAAAGCATTCAGTTTCCTTACAAGAAGACTTTTAATAGAAGGAAAGAAATCACCTCTGTAAAATCAGGATGGTAGATACCTTACAGGGTAAATAGATTCAAAACATAGAGAATCCCTCTAGGCAAAACCTTAAGTTACAAAAAAGACACACAGACAGGAATAGTCATTCTATTCAGCACAGTTCTTTTCTCAGCCATTTAAAGAAATCATAATCTAACACATACCTAGCTAGATTACTTACTAAAGTTCTAAGACTCCATTCCTGGTCTATCCCCAGCAAAAGCATCACACAGACACAGAACCTTTGTTTCTCTCCCTCCTCCCGGCTTTTGAAAGTATCTTGTCTCCTCATTGGTCATTTTGGTCAGGCTTTAGCTTCTTAACCCTTTACAGGTGAGAGGATTTTTCCTCTGGCCAGGAGGGATTTTAAAGGGACTTACCCTTCCCTTTATATTTGACAGCCTGGCTTAGTTAAAGACCCATTATTTCAGGCTTCTCACAGGTATATAAACAGGTCCCCCTCTAATCCAGTGTCCAGGAGAAGGGATTTTTTTTTTTTTTTACTTCTTCAAGTTGGGTGAATCTTTGTTTGCAGGTCCCAAGAATTTAAGTTGGCCTAGGCCTTCCAACCATGAAGGGAAAGCGCACCAGAGCAAAGCCAGTACCAGTGCCGACTGCAACCTCTAATAAGTCGAAGGACCATCAACTGCCAATACCAATGAAGAGCTCCAGACAGGACTCTCTACTCAGCAGTACCCAGGCAGTCCCAAAAGGACACACCATATCTGTAACGGCACTGGATCTGGCAGAATGACAACCGGGACGCCTTGTACTCCAGGAAGAACTGTGACATATGCTACCACAAAGGATATCTTAATCTTCCTGGTCCTCCAATCTCCTCTACTTTCAAGCCTGGTCCTTATGAATTACATATTTATCCCAGAAGACGAGGTTCAGGTCAACACCTGAAGACATCACTCCCCTATTTCATCCACAAGCTGGAATTTACTCCCACTGATACTGGGAGTAAACCACTGGGGCTAGATCTGGTTGTCTTGTTGGCTGAATCAGATGCCTAAGACTAACAGTCAACTCCTCAACTTAGGGAGGTTAGCACAGACAGGGCTTCCAAGAGAATGTGCGTACCCAGTGCCCTAGGGTGCACCCCCCACCAACCTTTGACCCTTCAGATTGGCCCTATTGGGAACTCTGGGACCCTTATGCACAATACCCCACATCCATGTGCTCTACCAGAGACTCACACTGTCCCTTTCTTTTGGAGGACAGCAGCCAGCTCTGCAGGATACGTGGAAGAGGAAGACTATGAATTAGATCCACCGTGCGGTACCCCCAAGTATATTATCTTCCTCACCGGATGAGGCAATTGCCCCATCTTCAGCCCCCTCCAGTGACCATAGGCAATAACAAGAACTATTGCAAGAGTGGCAGCAGAGCTTCAGATTCTGTTAAGGAAGTTCAGGATACTCAGCCCAAGCTCTTGAGCATTCAGCAGCTCACCAGACCCAATTGGGTAGCACTCCCAGCAAATGAGGCCATTCTGGAACCAGTTGGAGTGGTATGGCATGCACCTGCAACATGTACCTCTATTCCTAAAATGGCTAAGAAGCACGACTGTGTCTGTGAAATGAGCAGAAATCTTGTTCACTCACCCTGACCCCAAACTCTCTAGTAGTACAAGCAGTTATGGAAAGATAAAGGCAGCAACACCCCAGGGCTACTCCTTCCAATAAGGGAGCTAAACATCTTAACCTTCTGGGGAAGAAGGTATTGACATCCACCAGCCTCCTATTCAAGATTTCTAACTACCAGGCCCTGTTAGCGAAATGATTTTTATGAACTATTCAGTTACTAGATTTCAAAGATGAAACTCCTCAGGAGAGGGCTCAATTCCCCAGCCCTTTGTTGAGGAAGGTAGACATGTGTCTGAAACCTCTCATTCTGCAGTGGATGCAGCTGATATCTCCTCAAAATCTATAACTGCAATAGTAATGCTGTGGGAGTCATGGCTCCACTTTTCAGGATTCCCGAGGGAGGTTCAGAATAGTATAGAGGACTTGTCCTTTGAAACCAATCTCCTCAATGAGAAAACAGATGAGTCTTTACACTTTTTAAAAAAAAACAAAAAAACCCACACACTCCAGGTCAACCTTTTCTTCCCTGGGCACCTATATTCCGGCTCTGAAGGGGAATCACCGCAAACAATCATATAAGCCAAAAGCTCTTCCACAGCCTTTCTACCACCAGTGACCCTACAAACCACCTTGCAAGTGACAAAAGGGTCCAGAGGCCAAGATAGGCAGGAAACAAGGAAATAAAATGCCAAAACAGTTAAGGCAGAGTTAAGATTCAATTGCATCATTTATCTGTATGCATTCCAGCATGGACCCTTCAAAGCTTTTTATAAAAACGGAGTGGCAGAGAGGAGGGTGGAGCTGGTGATGTGTGCAGCTGGATGCGCAGGGCTGGGAATGTGGGGCAGAGCACTCTACTGCATTTACTGTTAGATGTAGCTGTACTGAACGGTGGAGGGATTAGCTGGAGCAGGTTGGCACAGCTGTCACTGTGATATGTAGAATAGTGCCTGTGTACCTTGAGGGATCGACTGAGCCTCATTTAGTTCTGAGTTTTCTAGGCTGCGCTAGTAGCAGTGACCCCCAGTGGTTTTATCGTGGGGATTGTCAACTTGGGGGGTTCTGGCATATGTGACTCTAGGGCTTAGTGAAGGCAGTGTGTCAGAAGGAGCCCTCTGGGCAAGGGTGAAGGAGTGGTAACGTTTGTCACCCAAGCTAAAACTGAGTTTTTTGCCTTAGCCAAAATGTCCTACGGTTGTCATGTGTTCTGGTTTCAACCCATTCTGGATACAGTGAGTGTGTGTGTGTGTTGGGATGTCACTTGAGGACAGCGGAGTTAAGGATGCATTGCAGTAGTGGCATGTACTGTAAACTTCTATTTTCTGCTTTTCAGGTTTAAAGTTGTCACCCCACATTCTAGAAGGGTCGGAGGCCCCACTGGGCAGCTTCAGCTCCTTTAATGAAGTGTTTGGGCATTTATTTTTAAAGCTGTTTTGCTCTCTGCTTTATTGTGGAGCTTATCATAAACCCTCTCCAATCCCTTCTGCCTAGCTTCCTGTTACAGGTTTAAAAAAAAAAATACACGTACTGACAGGATTATATGGCAGTGGGAAATAGACAGGATCTCTAAATTGTTCATTTCCAGGCATTTTACCTTTGTACTTTTCTACAAATAGGACTTTCTGTAAAACAAGGAATACTAGTTTTAGTTAGATTTCACTAAGACCTTGACTTTTTTAAGGTTGTTCTATTTCCAATAATATTAATATATTTGAATGCCTTGCTGTTATACAGATTTTTGGTGGCTAAATTTTTAACCTGAAGTGGTGTTTTGGTTTTACCACAGGGTCTCAAGAAGCACAGTTCTACACTCTGCGTGCAGCAAAAGCTTTGGCAATGACTGCACTAGATGTTATCTTCAAGGCAGACCTGTTGGAAAAAGTCAGAGAAGACTTCAGACAAATGACACTAAAAGAGGAAGGCCACTTAAATGTAAGGGAACAAGGCAAAGAATCTGGCACCGGGGCAGTGTGTGCAACACGTTAAACAAAACTAAAGCCTAAATACTTTCATGTTAATGGAATAAATGTTCTACTTGAATCCTAAAGGAGGCAGGACAGATTTCTCAGCGGGAGGAAGGTTGATTTTTTTTTTTGCTGTTTTTTTTTAAGAGGGATGTAGGGAAACCAAATGATCTCATTACTTTCAAAAATATTTCCTCTTTAAAAATAACTACGTAGTTGTAATTTTGCATGCTATAAAATGATGCATGCTTTTTGAGTCTGGGTGGTTGATCCATAGTGACAGACAATTGGTTGAATGCTTTTGCACAGTAATTCAGTCTACAGCTACAACATCCACATTTGGGGGTAAGATGGCAGAACCATATAGAAAAACTCACCTATTAAAATATCCTAAATACATTGACCTGTCATGGTAAACCTTTTGTGGGGAAGGACTGGAGGAGCCATATGTTGATATCTGTACAAGATGTATAACAATCCCATCCCCTAGCTAAAGTACAAACTTTCAGGGGAAAGTAACCTACCAGAGGGTAAATCTGTACACTTGCACCAAAATAGGGTGCCTAAAATAAAATTCTAAATACTTATGTAGATGCCTAAATTGGTAGCCTTATTTTTCAGTGGTGCTATGCTCCTAGCATCTCCCACGGAACTAATTGGAACTGCATGCTTCCAAAAATCAGGGCTTGCTCATAGGAGTTCAACTTAGGACTTGTCTGCAGGAGAAAGCTGCACCTGTTTAAAGGTGTCAAATTTTTTTTAAAGCCAATTCAGTTAGACTAGTACAAAAGGTTTCATAAACACTCCTTATATTTTGGTTTAACTTAAGTTTAATAATCTGTTTAAGCCAAACCAAAATAAGTGTCCACACAAGATTTTGCTTAAGTTGGTTTAAAACCATCTGCAGTTTTCTCAAACCCAGCATCAAGTTTATTTTTTAAAAAAAAATTATTTATTTTAAGTCTTCACCCTGGTGCTGTCATACAGAACTAGTCTCCCCAGCTCTCCTTCCTGTCAGTTTCCAGTCACGTGTCATTGCAAGACTAGAATTCAACACTAATGTAACGAAGCAAAGAGAACAGCTGTGCAAAATGGAATGTATCTGAAAGACTACTAATTACATGTCTGACTTTGAGAATTTTTTTTTCCTAATGTTGGACAATGGACTTACTCTTTTATATTCCCCATGTACTTAGTTTCTCTGGTAAATCATAGAACAGTGATTGTCTGTTCAGGACTTTCTGGAAAACATTATACAAAATTAAATCACAGAACTTTTGTATTCAAAACGCTGCATGTAAGTGTTTGATACCGTTTAAAGCCAACTGGAAGCTAAGTCCCATACAATTGCATAGCAAATGAACATTTTCATAATCATCTTGTTTAAAAGTTACTTAAATCTACCACGTTTTCTTCCTAGAGCAACTTCAGTACCTCTGCTGATCTTACACATTATAATGCAAAACTTCAGTATAATATTTACATTCTCTAGTCTAGAGTACATGCATTCTTTTCCCTTTGATCTTTCAGAAATTACATTTTAGGCTACACTATACAATAGTAGGCCCTGGATTTCTTCAGAGCTTTATAAAAAAAAATATTGTAGTATCTTTGGATAACTACTAACACTTCAGTCACGGTCATCAATAGTCCATGGATCCTTTTAGCTAACAGTATTTGTCCTTGGATTAATAGAAGACTGATTCTTCATCTTATAGCCAATTAAGATCTTGCTGGTATCCAAGATTTTACAGGTTTTGGATCAGCAGATAAAAATAGTGGTTTCCCTGAAGTTCTTCAAGAATCCGTAAGCCCCACTGTGTCAGATAAGGATGTACAAACCCTCATCTCACAGCATTCCCTTTGTTCAGATGGAGAGAATCCCAGCCCAAACCAGCTAACAGTTAAACATAAATGTCTATATTGTCTGTAGCCTTTAGAGATGACAATGCTGCTCTCCCACTTGGTTCATAAAATGCACCCTGATGGGACCATATGTTCTAACTGGAGGTTTCCTTAATGGATAAAACTGAAACCACTCTCCTAGATCAAAATTGTTTAAAGTATTGGGGAGGCAGCCCTGACAGCAGATTTATCTTGTGGTCTTGTGCTGATCAACTGGAAAGGAAAAAGGTTCAAGGAAGTCCTAGATTTATAATATCTTGCCCCTTGAATCTTGGCTCAGATATCAGATGTCTACATGGAAAACTATTCCTGTAGTGGAGACTTCTGATAAAACTTCAGTGTGGGGGGAAGAAAAACCTAATGAGAATGCCAGCTGACCATCACACCCTTCTTCTGGATGTTTCTGGCCCCTTCTAGGTGAGTTACCTTACACAGTTTTCTGCATGTGTGCAGAGACATGATTCAAACAAATCCCTGTCTCCTTCTCACTGCTTCTGTCCTGATTAGAGAGGAAAAAATTAAAAATGCTACAGTGTAAAGCATATGGAGTATCCTAGCTCTGTGTGCCCAAACCTTTGAAGTCAGAAGCCTGTCCTGACACTTTTATTAAATTTATTAAATTTTATTAATAAACTTTTATTAAAAGGGAATGCTGTGAGATGAGGGTTTATTAAATTAATGCTTTAAATTCAGGATCAAAAAAGAGTGGAAGATGACTAAGGGAGGAATTTCATGTTCAGATACAAACTGTTTTGATATTAGCACACTCATGAAATTTAAGACTGAAAAGCAGGTTTATTGCGTTTACTTTAACTGAGTTTTTCTCAAGTATAAAAATTCTAAGAGAAACACACAGAAAATAGTAAATGAAGTAGAGCTATGTGTATTCCTCCAAGGCACCCAGTTATCCTCTTTGAAGTGGTGTTTTAGCAGCACAAGTGCTGTTTTCTAACCAAGTGCAAAGTAGGAATATTACTGGGATATGGAAAAATTCTGATCTAGGTCTCCCTCAGTCTCACTGGGTGATGCTGTTTTGCTTTAATTAAATATTAATTGGAGCAGAGATTTACAATGACTATAGCCCAGGGGTTAGGGTGCTCACCTGAGTGGGAACAGATCCTTGTTTAAATCCCTGCTCCTCATGCAGTGGGGACTTCAACTGGGGTAGTCTCCCACATCCTGGCTGAGTACCCTAACCACTTGGCTAAAGATAAGGGAGGTGGATGCCTTTTCTTTCCCCTACCCTCCCAGCTGTTTTGTGTGAAGTTAAATGGCCTCTGAGCACATCTACTGGATTGGGTCCCATATACAACTTAGGTGCCCAATGCCTATCTCACTTCTGGTTCATGGGTAACTATATGGCTTAGATGGGATATTAGACATCAGGATGCCTCAGTGAAGCAGCAGTGTGCATGCCCAGATGCAGAAACATAGGCACCAGGGAATTTTCACTGCAAAAACTTAGATTCTGAGCAAGTTTAGGCACCTACGGGGTTTTGTGGTTCACAGTGGTCATTGACTACCTATCCTCTGGCTATTCTTACATACATCATACAAACTTTTGTGAGAGGAACAGACTGATCCAAAGTCAGTTCAGAACCGGACACTAAGCTAAGTATGTCCATGATAGAGAACTAAATATCAAAGCTAGCTGGCATGTAGTATGCTACTGTGTTTTCTTTTGCATCGGTCTTTGTTAAATTTTGTCCAAAAGTTCCCTAATAGGGTTTCTTTTCAGTATTGATGCATCAGCCCAGAGATGAGTAGTACAATTTTTCCTGTATTTTATATGGTCCTGTGGCTTCTAAAGTTAGTTTGTGAAAAGTTTTTGTTTTTACTTTCAGTGCATTTGTATGGTTTTTCTCTGGTGTAGAATCTTTGTTTATAGTATTGAGCTTTTCTTCATGTTTTTTTTTCCTACTCCCCTCCTGTGTCAGCTATCTAATGTTTGTCTTGTATGATTTTTTTCCTCCAATGCACTACATAGATTTTGATTTTTCTCAGATAGGAATATCCTGATGCAAATTTTCTTCATTATGTTACATGAATGTCCCATCTTCAAAGACCTCTGTATTCCCCAAATTCTTTTCTAGAAGAGCTATGGAAGTTAGTGTCATTCTGTGGTAGACTTTTTTTCTGTCCTTTGCAGCTAGGACTGCAAAGAACAGAAACTTTATCTCAGAAGTTTCAATAAAGGATCTGTTGATCTTTGAGATATGTATGTGACAGGTCAGCTGAGTTCCTTAGAAAGCTTTGGCGGTGTTGCTTCCTTTTCCCTCTTCTTCTAGGATTCATTTTACAGGTTTTGGCCCAAAGGCATGCATCTGGGATCCAGGTGCTGCTACTAACCCATGTTAATGGGAGCATCTCATCAGATTAGCCCATTAAGGCAACTGTGTAAAGAGAACAGGTCAGTGAGGAGATAGGGTGGATGTAGCTATGCTACCGGTTGATGTTGACAGCCTTGTTTGGTGTTTTGGCCCCTCTCAAAGTTGAGGAAGGGCAAAATAAATAGACTTTAATCTTTACCTAATTATCTGGAACGCTGCTGTGATACATAAAAGGCAACCTGCTCGTGCAGGCCCTCTGACAATATGGTTCCTTTCTTTCCCAAACAGATAGCTGTCGGGCTGAATAATTTGTGAAGCCTCTTTTACTTTGAATTCTTAAAATATTTTTTTATTCTCTCTGGCTGTCTCACATCAACACTTGTGTCCCAAAGTGGATGTAGTTAATGCTGTAGAATAATCATAGTCAACATGCTATACAAAAGTCAGTCAAATGCTAAAATTGCAGATATTTCCATTCATTAATATCTTCATCAAACATGCACCTGTTGACATCTGCTTCATTTGCTGGAATTGGATAGTGACCGTAGTATTCAAAATATTTGATTTTTAATCTTGGGGTACAGGTTTCACTCCTAGCTTATGTAACTTCAGTTTTCTCTGGAAGGCTGTACTGAGCTCCCTGAGTCCTAGAAGTATAGAACTGGAAGGGACCTTGAGAGGTCATCTGGTGCAATCCCCTGCACTGAAAGCAAGTCTATATAATAACTAGACCATTCCTGACAGGTGTTTGTCTAACCTGTTCTTAAAAACCACCAATGATAGATATTCCACAACCTCTTTAAGCAATTTGTTCCAGTGCTTAACTATCCTGACAGTTAGGAAAAACTTCCTAATGTCAATCCTTAACCTCCCTTGCTGCAATTTAAGCCCATTGCTTCTTGTCCTATTGTTAGAGGTTAATGAGAACATTTTTTCACCCTTCTTGTAATTTATGTACTTCAACTTTTATGTTCTCCCTCAGGCTTCTTCAGACTAAAGAAACCCAATTTTTTCAATCTTCCTTCATAGGTCTTGTTTTCTAGACCTTTAACCATTTTTGTGTTGCTCTCCTCTGGACTTTCTCCAGTTTGTCCACATCCTTCCTGAAGTGTGGTGCCCAGAACTGGAAACAACACTCCAGTTGAGCGCTTAGCGGGGAATAGAGTGAAAGAATTACTACTTGTCTTTCTTGCAACACTCCCTTTACATCCCAGAATGATGTTTGCTTTTTTTTCCCCCCAACAATAATACACTGACTCCTATAACCACTTATAAATCTGTTCAGTTACTTTAGAATAATCAAATTAAGATACCAAAGTAGAGTATAAAGGAGGAAAAATCTTCATGCTTTATTGGCCTTCATGGGTTGTTTTTTGTTTGGTGGTATCTCCTTTAGAAATAGTTGTAAGTTGTCACTGAGGTATGAGAGAGAGTGTGGGTGGAAGTAATACCTTTTACTGCACCGACTTCTGTTGGTGAGAGAGACAAGCTTTCGAGCATACCAAGCGCTCTCCCAGACTTGAAGAGCTCAGAGACAAGCTTTTGAGCTTACACAGAGCTCTTCTTCAAGTCTGGGAGAGCGCTTGGTATGCTCGAAAGCTTGTCTCTCTCATCAATAGAAGTCAGTACCGTAAAAGGTATTACCTCATCTACCTGGTCTCTCTAAGGTCCTAGGACCAACACAGCTACAACAACACTGCATACAACAATTGAGGTATATGTAATTCATATGTCTGCTGCCCTATTTTGTGGGTAAGTGGGGGACCTTTTGTTTCAAGTGTTTGACACATTTCACTAACATTGGATTCAAAACCACCTACATTAAACAATGAGTTGCAAAGACAGCGTGATTGTTTCTCCCCTCTGCTCTCCACCAACTGAAGCACAGAATTAAACTTCTAGTTCTTACAGGGATTTATTTGTTCTACCTTCTCTACAGTGGGTTGGGTTCAAACAAGCGCTGGTACCCTTTGCAGTTTTAAGCCTTTTTTTGTTCTGCAGACCTGTCGACTCTACTTGAACCTGTAACTTGACCTCATTTTTCTAATTTTGTATGATCTGTACAGAACCAGTTTTCTTTTGGCATTTAGTTCACACAGATTATGATGTTCATTTCCTACTTGTGTGCATCCTATTTTCTGCAGCAATAATAAACCAATTTTGAAAGAATGAATGGACTTCAGGGCAAGTTAAGTGTAGGCCTGATTATTAATCTGTGCACACTTTATCCTGACATGATGCTAATGCACAAATGTAGCAATAACATTTACTTCTAAGCCATCTGCAGAAGTTATTCTCAGAACTTTACATCTGAGCCCCAACATTGCAATATTATGTTTTGATGCTTCCTGGCATTTTGCATTATGATATAGCATTAGTATAGGATGATGTTTAATTAACATTGCAAACCTTACAAGGCCATTTCAATATGTGATTTTTGTGGCTCTAACTCCAGTACAATATCTCTTTTCTTTCCCCTCTTCTGGCAGTTCCTTTAGAAGTGGGGTGGGTGAGGAATATTTCTCCTTCCCCCTCCTCATACTGCTTTTCTACACCTCAGTTTGTTTCTTCCCTGTTTGGGGTGTGTGGGGCAAGGATAATTGTGTTCAGTTATACAATGTGAAGGTTAATTATAGACCAATGCCTAAATTTTTAGAAAATTTTACCCGCCAGGTGGGTGCCCTAAGCTACAGAGTTAATTCTCTTGCCGCCCCAATGAGTGTGCCACTGTGGATAAATATTTAAATACACTCTGGCTGGCTCAATGAGTGACTCTAGCCTGGGGGTTAGACTCAGGGTCCAGCCATCCTGGTCCAATCACTCTATAATACATAGTGGAACAGCTTCAACAGGACAGACTGAGGGAGCCCTTTACACCCCAATCAGACTATCCCATAACTCAGTGGTTAGAGTATGCTCCTGAGAAGTGGGAAACCACAGTTCAAATCCTCTTTTCCCCATTAAGTATGTGTGGAGGGGAACTGAAGGTGGGTTTCCCATATCCCAGTTGAGTGCAGTAGGTGAAAAGTTATAAGGTGGGCTCCTCCTCTTCCAGTTACTTTTGTGTGGAATGAGGCAGGTGCCTAACTCATTCCCACAAGAAATGACTTAGACACCTAAGCCATCTAACTCCAAAAGAAGGGTTCTTTTTCATGGATCACTCACAGATAGGCAGGCTCAACGCCCAACCCTCTCCTTGGCATTTTGCATTGGCGAGCAAAAGTGGCTCCCCACCTAGCCTGCTGACTCTTGTGGGTTACATTCTAAGGTGCCTCTCCCCATTCATTGAATAGGAGCTTTGGCATCTGACTCCGGCTTTGTGGATTGCAGTGTTGTTTCTGTGACTTTTCTTGGCACCTCAAAGTGAGGCATTGCAATGCTCAGAGTCACAGCACCTAAGACCCTTTGTGGATCTGGGCTTAAGTGACCTGGGAGCACAAGTCCAATTGACTTTCAATTACCTGTGCTCTTGAATCACATTGGCATTTTTGAAAATCTCATGTGATGTTTCTTTTCTAGTTTTTTATTGCTATAACTGCTTCCTCTTTTCCCCCAATTCTCTGTTTACACTTTATTCAAAGTACCCTCAGTTTGAAAAATATTGGAGTATCTTTGGCATAAATATTCAATTATTCAAAATGCATTAGTAGCTGACTGTAATTATTTACTTGAAGTTGAATAAATGTGACACCTAAGTGCAGCATATTTATATTAAGGTTGCAGGATCCATATAAAACTCCTGTGATGAATTTATACCTCTTCATGTCTAATAAGCTGCAGTGCTCTGATAAATATCCATCCTAGAACTTAAGCAAAAGATGTGCCTAGAAAGCAAAGTAGCCTATGAAACACCTCTAAAGAGAATTCCTCCTTTCATGAAGCTGTTTTTGAGGAAGAGAACCTTTGTATGTTACAAAACAGATACTTCAGCTGGTAAGAAGGGTAGAGTATCCTTTCATCAAAGCTTATTGTATATCAAATATGCTCTTTACTTGTGTTTTCTAGTAAATCATTGCTGTTCTGCTATCACTATTGTTTTTGACTGTGCAATAGGCTTTTAATGATGTGCAGTGTATTCAGTACATGTTAAATTCTTAAATAAAAATAAATTCATATGTTTAGTGGCTACAGTGGTTTGAGTACTTATTGTTTTCGGTTTAATAGCTCAGAATAAAAAACAAAGGTGGCAGATGAATGTAATTAAAATAGTCTTGTAGTGTTCTCCTACTGGTCAAGTCCATTGGAATACTTGATTGGCTAGGTGCTACTGTGCATTTGCTGACTGAGTTTTGGAAGGTAACTGATATACGCCTCCATTCTGTAACAAATATTTTGTGTGTGGGGTAGAGAAAAGGACAAACCACATCTGTTTTAAGCAGGCACTTGCAATGTATGCCTAGCAGCGCTTTGTACCACCATGTTAAGTACAGGTTTTTATTATATCTCTTGCTTTTTTTGAACTAGGGTCATGCTTTATCTTTAGATATGATCCAGATAAATCAAATGTTTGGCCTGTGGACTGGCTCTGGCCTTCTAGGCCCTCTTTCAGGTCATCATTCTTCAGTGATCCATAGCTGCCTGCCCTGCTGGTACCTCAACAGGGCTCAACTTCTCTCCATTCTCTCACCTCTCAGGATAGTGCCCTAACTATTGAGCTACGGGATATTCTGATGTGGGGCTCTCTCAATCTCTCCTGATGAAGCTGTTCCACTGAGGATAAATAATTGAGTCATTGGAGCAGGGGGACTGGACTGGACTGGATGCCACCTTCCAGATGGGTGCAGAACCATCAGGCTCCAGAGTCATTTTCTCTCTGTTCCAGTGACTCTAAGTATTTATCCACAGTGGATAGACAACCCAGACTTAGGCATCTATATCCAAGAGAGGGTGGGGCTTAGAGGACCCACCCCTCTCGTCAGTATCTCCCAATGACTATCTTAGACAGCTCCCCACCTAGCGTTTTGGCTTTTGTGAATCGTGTTCTAAGGTACCCCTCTCTCCCTATTCATTGTATTGAAATATCCGTGCCAAACTCAGGCTTTGTGGCTTACATTGGTGGTGTTGTGATTTTCTAGGCACCTAAAAGTTAGGTATTGCAACACTCAGCATCACAATATACAGATCCTTTTGTAGATCTGGGCCTCTGCCCAGAATAGGGGCTCATGAGGACTCCGTTCCCCACACGGCTTCACCATCATGGGATGACAAGTGAGAAATCCTTTCCCATGTTCAAAATACTCCTGGTGTACTGAGAAGCCCCAGGAGAAGGTACTAGGTCTCCTAAAGTACTCAAATGGTTGCTAGACAGCCTGGAGGAGCAGGCAGGCATTCCCACGAACAGTATATTTGTCCCCTTACCTGTCCTTGATTGAGTAATCCTCAGAATAAACAGTTTGCTAGCTCACTCCATATGAAGCGCCTAGGGAAGTACCATATTCATCTCCCTGCCCACCCCAAAAAACAAAAATAAACACCCAACCCTGCATGAATCATTATCTTCCCCCCTCAAACAATATACTATAGAGTTTCCTCTGAGGACCTCATAAGACCTGTGGATGTTAAACTAAGATTTTATATATAAACAAAGATACTTCATATGTTTTGGGAACCATAGGTTGGTACAGTAGTAGCACCACCTGTGAAACAGTCACACTTTCTAAAGGAGACGTCCTTCCAAAAGATTCCAGAGGCCATAAGAGCAAGGACACACTACACAGCAATTTCAAATCTTTGCCTGTAGCAATTTAGAAGGCAAGTATTCCTGACTGAGTAAGGAAAGCCTAGTTGGTGGCAAACAAGTGGCTTGTCTAAGGATACAGTCCTTACTGTTAGTTGTGGGTTCACCATCTGATCAAACTTTGGCAGTTGTACATAAAATATTATTTCTTGACAATTTTCCTGTGTCTTCATGTGATGTGTGACAGGAGCAGTGACTCAATAGCTACATGAAGGCATTGCTACACCTATTTATAGCAATAAATCATACCAAACATATATCCTGTAGATCCAGGTTTACAAATGGAAGGCTTTTTAAGGAAACATTTAAAGAAATTAATATCTGAGAATGCAGAGAGGCCTCCTTCCTCACTATCAAATCCAGTATAGCAATCCTTGCTAATCACAGAAATGGTATTCACAAAGAGACTGTTTCCCTTAGCAAAAGGAAAAAATCTAGAAGCGAGGTTCCCAAAGAAGATTTCAATTCCTTTTCTTCCAAAACCAATTAAATTCTCACCAGGACAGTAGACCAGACAAGTGAGCATTTATATGTAACCGCTAACAATTCCTGTACAAGACTTCCTTTTGACTTACCCTTTCAAGCCAGAGTCTTTAACAGCTGATAGTCATCACAGCAAGGCTCAGGTTGCAAGCTATGCATTCCTTGACCTCATCCTAATCAGGGTCTTGTTCAGAGAAAGGGATCTACTTATCACTTGAGACCTGTTGGAAAGAATTTATAGCTGCCAGTTGTTGAACATCAAACACTCTATGCAGAGACCTGCTCTTCCCAGGGTTCAAAATATGCATGGTTCTAGTCATATCTGTACTACTGTAGTAAAGGTTTGAAAAGACCCAATACTGCATTGCATCAGTTGTTTCCCAAGAGTCGCCAGCCATAGCCAATTATCTCCATCCGCTAGGATTGCTGGTACCAGACACTGGTATCATCCCCTTAGGAAGATTTTTATAAAACAGGTCTTCAGACATTCCTTATGAGGACATGGAACACTGCTGCCACTGGGCACAATGCAAAATTGGGTGGCATTCCTACCTCATGTCTGAAGGTAGGGAGTAGGTAAGTACAAACATGCTGTATACCAAAACAATTTTCACTCTAGACCTTGCATATGTATTCTGGAAGCAAGCCTTGCAGGCTGGGGAGCATATCACGAAGACAAAACAACCCAGATTTATGGTCCCTCACATAGGAAAAAAGAAAGTATCTAGTTCTCTCAAGATCACACCTTATGTTGTACATATTTCCAAAGTTGGAGTTCACAGGTATGCCCTGGGGGTGGAGAAAAAAACAGGAGCGACCTAGCAGGTTTTCCAGGTGAAGGAGGAGTGATTGTGACTATTGTATGATTGCTTGCTAGCTGTGTGCCTGCTTGATTGAAGTTTATAGTGTGGTCTGTATTGGGGAGTGTATCCTGAGCCTACTGGCCTGCTAGGCAAGGCTGAGAGCGCCCTACTGAGGCACTAGTCTGCCATCCTATGATCCCTAATCCCTTTAAGATGTTTTGACAAAGAGACAGGGCTAACTCAGAGAACAGGGGTTTAAAAAGCCAGCTCCTAAGCAACTAGAGTAGCTAGCAAGTGAACAGGAGTAGGAAATGGGAATTTTGCAAGGGAGTTTCAAGATGGAGCATGAGAGCCAGATGCACCTAACAACCATACTTTGAACTTAGGCTAATAAATTCTGCGCACACACACATACACGCAAAAAACAACAACCCAAAGAACAAACAAAACCCTGCAAGTGTAAAAATAATGGCGGCAGAAATCCAGCAGCAGAGTGGGACTGAATGCAGCATGTACAATTACCTGCCTTATGTGCAGATAGCATAGGTGTGCATTTGGTGCAAGCAGCTCATGGCCCTCAGAGACCTCGCACTGAGGATACCCCTCTAGCAGAGAGGATCCCTATTATTAGGAAGAGACAGGTAATAGTAATGGGGGATTCAATTATTGGAAATGTAAACAGTTGTTTGTGATGACTGGGATAACTGCATGGTGAAACAGTTGCAGATCTCTCAAGACCTCTAAATAGATGCATGAGCAGTGCTGGGGAGGAGCCGGTGGTCTTCCTTCTGGCCAGGTCACTATAGTTTGCACCTTCCAGGTAACAATGTTCCTCTGGACAAACAGTCTCAGGCAGTTTTCTGATCCACTGCGACTGTACCACTTCCCCAGTGGGTGGTAGTGAACCTCAGGCCTGCCCAGTACTCCAGGATCCAGCCCAGGGACCCTATGTCTAGTAACCAATTACTTGGTTAATACAAAAACCTTAGCTTTAAGTCCCTTAACTCTGTATTTGCTGCCCTTTGGAAAGTGGAAAAGTTCTGTGACCTGCAATGTGAGGTCAGACTAGATGATCTTGATGGTCCCTTCTGGCCTTAAAGTCTATGAGTCTGTGTACTAAGCTACAACCTACTTGGCCTTGAAATTCAATGTATTAGTTGCTTTTATGTATTGCTTGCAACAGGTCTAATTCTGATAAATGGTGGAACCTCTGCTACAGGCTGCCCTCACGGCAGGTGTACAGTCTGTGTTCTACCCTTGCTTGGTCTTCACTTCTCCTTGCACTCAATGCTGCCATGTGTGAGTGTATGAGAAAAGTGAGCCTTAGGGACCTGAAGTCTGCTAGTTCCTCAGACCTAAGCAAGATCTTAGATCTGCTCAGTGCAGATTTAGCCATTACTCTCAGACATGAGGCAGGTGTCGGAGGAAGTGTGCTGGGACTTGGATTGTTGTGGGGTGATTTTTTTTGATGGAGAAGGGAAAAGAGGAGTCAATGTCTTTTCAGCCTCGCTTCCAGTTATTTTACCTGGTTCTCTGACTGGTGCTGCCTCTAGCTACTTCATCCCTGCTGTTCCACCTGAGTCATAATTTAGCAAGCAGTTGCAGTGCCCATCTTGCTAAAAAGTGACAGTTTGTGGCATTGAAAGCGTGGCTGCCCTTATGTACAAGATTTTTATTAATTATGTAGCTAGGTGGAAGCCTTCACTTTCTCCTGGCTGTTAATCCAGAAATGTTAACAAGCACAAAAATTACAAGTGAGCAAGTATCAGTCAAAGCTTCTCCCACACACCCCACCAGTGCATTTCAACCCAGAAGTAGTGAGACCACTATGAATATGTAGATACACAAACATCCAGTTTTCTTTTAATCTGTATCCGGAGGTCAGCCAAGGATCTAGGCAGATGCTCTACAGTGAAGTAAACAATGTAGCTTAAGGGAAACACAGTTTTCCTTATTTTAGTATCTTTACTGAGTGTTAGAAGAAAATGGCAACCATCTCTACTAGGGCCTGATCTTGTGAGGTGCTCAGCACATTTTTAGATGAAACCTAGTGCTTAGTCTCAGATTACTGAGCATCTTTGACTCCCATTAAAACCAATGAAT